ACTGCCTCAGAAACCCAAAAGGGGTCGCTGGAAGTCAGAATCGACTCAACAGCAGTGAGTTTGGTTTTTTTTTTTTTTTAAATGATCATGAGCATTTCTTCCTGTGGTTGTTGGCTGCTTGAATATCTTTGGTAAAATGTCTGTTTATGTCTTCTGCCTATTTTTTAATTGGATTGTCTTTTTGGTGTTGAGGTGTTGGGGTTTTTATAAATTTTAGAGATAAGTACCTTGTTGGATAGGTCATTGCTGAATATTTTATCCCAATCTGTAGGTTCTTTTTTTTTATTTTTTTTTTTGAAGTTTTTTGATGGACATAAGAATTTAATTTTTTGAAGGTCCCAGTCATCTAATTTTATCTTCTGCTATTTGTAGAGTTTTCTTTATGTTTGATAGTGTGTTTATGCCATATATTAGGGCCTCTAACTTTGCCCTTATTTTTCCTTTGATGAACTTTATACTTGTAGGCTTACATTTAAGTCTTTGATCCATCTTGAGTTCGTTTTTGTGAATGGTATAAGTTATAGATCCAGTTTCATTTTTGTGCAAATGGATATCCAGTTTTGCCAGCACCATTTGTTACAGAAGACTGTCTCTTCCCCCATGTAATGGGTTTCAGCCCTTTGTCAAAGATCAGCTGACCAGGGGTGAATGGATCTATTTCTTAATTATATTCCTTTCATCTGTGTGTCTGTCATTGTGCCAGTACAGGCTATTTTAACTACTGTGGCTGTATGAGTTTTGAGATCCAGGAGTGTGAGACCTCCAACTTTGTTGTTCTTCTTCAGGGGTGCTTTGCTTTATCCACGCTCTCTTGGGTTTTTGTGGGTTTTTTTCGTTTGTTGTTTTGTTTTGTATTAAGTTAGTACTGACTGGGAGCACAGCTCTCAGTGCAGCTAATAGTAGTTGTGAGTGAGGGGTTGAACCTGCTTTTAAGTGAGTTGGGCCAAGAAGCAAGGAGGTAGTTAGCATGACTATGGCAGGGAGACCTTGTACCTGCTAAACATTTCCAGTCACTTATAACTAATTTAAAGTTTATAAACATCCTTGTGGAAATTAGTTTTTATATTAAGTCTCAAGCATTAAAACTTTAGCTATAATTAGCCCTTGCTGGCTGGTAAAGTCTCCCAATTGGCCTAGAAATTGATCAAATTGAAGAAATGATAAACTCTCTCACTGCCATCGAGTTGAATCTGTCTCATAGTGACCCCTCCTTGGGTTTCCGAGGCAGTATCACTACAGAAGTAGATTGCCCAACCTTCCTTCCAAGGAGGGCTGGTGGGTTTGAACCGCCAGCCTTCTGCTTAGCAGTCAAATGCCTTAGGCACTACGCCACCAGAGTGCCTAAGAAATGATTTAGCTGCAAATTTTATTTGGCATCGTCTCTAGATCTTGGTAATGGTTTGTTCATTTATTCAAGAAACATTATGAACAGCCTGTGTGTCAAGCATTAGTTCTTTCAGTAATAGTTTTTTGAGTGCCCTCAACATCCTACACACTGGATGAGGTTCAGGGGAACACAGCTGTGAGCATAGGCCCTGCCCACGCCTCCAGAGCAGATAGCTTGTTGAAGAATACATATTGTAAGGAGAATGTTGCAAGCTGGGTGTGGCTGTGGAAGGGGGTGCACTGGGCTGTGTCGGTCCCAGGGGTCACAGAGTTGTTACTGAGCACCAGTGTGGGCTGGCCAGTTCTTACGTCAGCAAGCTCACTCTGTCTGGGGGCACATGACCTAGGTGGGGGACAGTAAACAAGCAGTGTGCTGGCAGACAGTGACAGGCTTTGTGGGTGCAAGGAGTTGGCAGGCAGGGGGGCGGGTAGGGGTGAAGTTCTCGTATGCTGACAGTGCCTCTGCTTTCTGTAGCATGGACAAGGACAGCCCTGACGTCCACCAGGACCTGAATGCTCTGAAGACCAAGTTCCAGGAGGTGCGGAAGGCTGTGGGCACCATGCCCGGCATCCACTTGAGCCCAGAGCAGCAGCAGCAGCAGTTGCATAGCCTCCAGGAGCAAGTCAGGACCAAGAACGAGCTGCTGCAGAAGTATAAGAGCCTCTGCATGTTTGAGATCCCCAAAGAGTAGAGTGAAAGTGCTGCCAGGAGCGACGGACCCTTCATAGCCCCTGCCACCCCCTTGGAGAGGGGCTCTTTCAGACCTTTGCTCTGAACTATGCATGTGGGCTAAACTCAATGGCTCTGGCAAAGCCCCTTCTTCATCCTATATGTCTGGATGCATAATAACTGTGCTTGCTGGTGGGAGGAAGGCTGCCTGGGGTGGGCAGGCGGGCCTTTGCCAGGAGCTGGGCTCCACTTATGATTCTGAAGAACACAGAATCCCTCTCTCTCCTTTCACCCTTGGATGTGATCAGTGCATACCAGGTACATGTTGTTCCCCATGACAGCAGTTTTATGCAACATTTGCATAGTATTCACTGGGTGAATTATGCCTCCATTAAGACTATGGGTTGAATATGGTAAAGAGTGGCACCTATGAGAGAATGAACATTATTTTGAAAGACTGCAGGGTGGCTTTCCACCCACACACACAGTTTGTCTCCTTTCATTTGAATCCTGTCTACTGTCAGCTGGAGCCCACAGGCAGCCCTTGCCTTGAGCTTCTCTGCTGCCCCCGTGTCCTCAGTACTTTTAGCTCTTGCTCCCTTGGGCTTCTGTCCCCTCCCTTTAGTCCCTGTTGCCAGCCTCTCAATGCCAGAGAATGTCAGTCCTTGGTAGAGCCCACTGAGCTATTGAGCTGCTGCTCCTAACTGAGCTAAAACTTCTCAAGTGAGCTGAGCTGACTGTGCTGTCTGGCATCCTGTGGGCCTGGTTTCAGGAATTGTTTCCCCCTCTGGCCTTCTCACTGGAGAGTCAGCAGCATCTCCTGCACTGTGCACTGCCACACCAAGATGATGGGATGTGCCTTTTGCTCAGAGAAGCAGCCCCAGCAGTGTTCTGAGGGATGCAAGCCAGTGCAGTCCTCATTGCCCCAGCTCCACTCTGGTTTCTGCCAGGTGGGACTTTTTATTTAAGTGCTCTTCCCTGGCTGTCATATCGAGGTAAGAACAGTTCCTTCCCTTGCCTCTTTAGGGTGAGAAGTAACTGCATATTGTTTGGATCTAGAAGTGGACACATTACCTGTGCTGACCTATCCAAGGGCTTAGCAGATGCCTGCCAGCTGACCTCGTTGGCAGGAACACTGGCTGAGGAGTGTTTAGAAGGTCTCCACGAGTTTCCCTGTACCTACTGGATGTCTGGCGTGGTGGAACTCAAGAGCATAGAGTAGGTCAGGTTTCACTGGCTCTGGGCAGAAGAGCAAGCTCTGCATGTAAGTGGGAAGTCATCTACTAGTGGACCATTTCTGCCTTGGGACTGTTACTTAACTGAATCAGTTATTTTCTAGAAATGTCAAAGTAGCGTGTGGGCCAGTTTTAAGGCACTGACCAAATACCATGAAACCTGGAGCACATGAAAACAAGACTGCCGGGTCTGTCTGCAAAGCTGAGATGAACAAGGGGCTCCTTGCAGGGGCAGGGGAGATATAAGCTGCCCCCCCCCATGTTTGTAGAAACCTTTCCTGGATGACTGCATTCTGGCATTTTGATTTGTGACATTGTTTGAGTATATAATTAACATGCGTTCATATCTTCCCTTATGCTCTGCTCTTAGGAGATCTTGGTTTTCATACTAAGGAGTCTGCAGCAGGATGTCTGTTGGATGGCTGACAGGAAGATGTTTGCTTTGCTTAGAGTGTACACAGAATAAAATGTGAAAACTCAACTCCTCCCTTTCCTGCCCCCCCCCCAACCAACATAAACACAGAGTCCCTCCTCTCCTGGAGCAGCCCAGCCACCCAAGCAGGTCTTTTTGGTGGTTTGACAAGGTTCAGGCCTGTGAGGGCCCCCAAAGCAAGATGACTTCCTGTAGGAGAATAATCTGAAGTCCCCTTCCAGGGCTGAGCACCCCCTGAGGCTACCACTTGGGTTACTGGGCAGGCACTGATAAGTACTTTTCATCATCACAGCAGCCCCAGGAAGACAGCACTCTCTTGACTCTGCAGATAAAGAAATTGAACCTTGGCAGGTGTGATATACCCTGAGTTTGCAGAGGTTAAGTGATAGTGAGAGCTAGAGTGAAAGCCCTGTGCAGGATCCCTTAGCCACCAAGAGAGAGAAAGCAAGGGAGATGTAAGGTGAACCCTGCCCCTGGCAAACTGGTGCCACCGCAGGCTGAGGGGAAGGGCTTTATGTTTTTAACTGTCCCTGGACCACACCAAAGGAGCTCTGGTGGTGAACCCACCCATAGGCACCTCAGAAGACAGGCCTGGCAGTCTGCTTCCAAAAGTTACAGCCTTGAAAACTCTGAAGAGCAGTTTTACTCCTCACAAATGGGGTTGCCATGAGTCAACTGATTCAGTGGCAACTAACAACAAATAAATATTAACTCTGGTGATGCAGCGGTTAAAGCATTCTGCTGCTGACCAAAGGGTTGGTGGTTCAGACCTAACTAGCTGCTCCACAGAAGAAAGATGAGGCAGTTTACTTCCATAAAGATTTACAGTCTTGGAAACCCTTTGGGCAGTTCTACTCTGTTCTGTAGTGTCACTATGAATTGGAATCAACTCAGTGGCAGTGGGTAGGGTCACACCAAGTGTGACAAGATGATCGGGCACAGTTCAGGGGAGAGTGGGCCAAACAGCCACTGAGAGGACACATACTTTTCAGATAATGAGGACTTGCATGGCTTCACTGAAAGAAACACCAAGCAGCTAAATAAATGGATTAGAAAGATTGAGTCTGTGGAGTCTTTTTTAAGATCCTGGCTTTCCAAGCATGCTATTTCCTGGGAACCATTCCACAAATGGAAGGGCTTTGTCTACCTTGCCACTCTAGGCCTAGGGACCTGGTCATCTGAAGTTTTGGGAACAGTTTTTTCCAAAACTGTTGGTAATGTTTTCAGAATGGCAGGGTTTGTTTTCCAGTATGGGAAAGGTGCATTCTAATTCCCCATTAGTGGAAGCCTAGTGTGCCTCCCTTCTCCCACCCTTCCTCCTTCCAGCCACTTCTAAAAGCAAAGAAAACCAGATTTTCCATTTTAAATTATTTTGTTTTATAGTAAAAAATAATAATAATAATAACTTTAAAGACTTACACACACACACATTATAAACACCTGGGTAAAATTTTGTTCATGTCCTTGATGACAGCAGAACTATTAAAGTGCAAATTTTACATTTTTTGTTTCATTTTTGCAATTGAACACACATACACGTAAACAAGTTACTTAGTTATGAGTTGACCCATAACACTGCTTGGCATCTGCCCCTCAGGTTTTCACCAGCTGATGACAATGCAGAATAACACAAGATAACATTCTTTTGTCCTGGCCCTTAAGCCCAGCAGGATGGGTTTCTTGGAGCTTAACAGTGGTTGATTAGCTTCCAAACTGCTTTCCCCCATCCACTCTCATTCCCAGGTCTTTGTAAGAAATAAGACTAGTAAGTTCACCCTTCTCTGGACCTATGCCCTAGTCATGAGGGTGGCGAGGCGCCAATGGCGAATTGGGGATGGGGAGAGTCTTTCCTGGCCATGACAGTTCTCTTTTCTTCCAAAGCCGTCCTGTCTCAGTGCGGTTGCGCTTTCCTGGGCGCGCGGGGCTGGCCGGAGCTGTGGATATCACTTTTAAACAAAAAGGTTCTCCTTATGTTTGTTGCCAGCGCGGCGGAAGCCCCTAGCTGATGACGCAGCGCTCCTTGTCCTTCGCCTGGCTGCTGCTGCTGGCCTTCTCGCGAATGTACATGAGGTCGCTGTGCACGCTTGGCCGGCGAGCGAAGGGCGCCACGATACCGAAGGCGTCTCCAGGATCGCCGCTGGCGCGCAGCAGCTTCTTGCTGCGCAGCGCCTTCTTGTGCAGCACGTCGCAGTACTGCACCGACACCTTGCGGTGCAGGTCTGGGCTCATCTCGCTCGGCAGCTTGGCCATGGCAAAGAGCGCCCGGAACATCTGGTCCAGGCTGCTGTTCTTCTTCGCCGAGATCTCGAAGTAGGCGCAGCGCTGGGGTTCGTCGCTCACCAGCTGTTCGATCTCGCGCTGCTCCACTTCGCGATAGAAGTCACGGTCACCCTTGTTACCGCAGATGACCAGAGGCACTTCTACATTCTCCTTAGTTTTGTTCTTGAGGCAAGATTTTGTGTCAAGGATCTGCCGCTTGAGCCTCTGGACCTCTTCGAAGGAGTCGCGGTTGTCTAGGCTGAACACTAGGATAAAAACGTCTCCTGCGGGGTGCAGAGAGGGGAGAGGAGAAGGTGAGGCGGCTGCCATGAGGATAAGTTGGGCGCGCAAACCTCTCCAAGCGCGGCACTCGGCGCGCGGCAGGCAGAGCGTACGCACCACTAACCGGAGCCCTCCCCAGTACCCCACAACGCCCCTTTCCCATGGTCAACTCCCTCCCTTCGCCCACAGCATCAGGCCTTGCCAAAAGTACTCGCTCACCTGTGAGGATGGAGAGGCGCCGCATGGCGGGGAACGGGTGATTGCCTGATGTGTCGAGAATGTCGAGCTGGTAGACCTCACCTCGGATGGAGTAGAACTTGCGGTGAAAGTCCTCGATAGTGGGCGTGTAGGTATCCTCGAAGCGGCCGGTGAGGAAGCGCGACACGATGGCCGTCTTACCCACCTTGGACGAACCGAGGATGACCATGCGGTAGCAGTTCTTGGCAGGAATATTCAGCTCGGAGTCGCTCGGACGCATCTTCTTGATCATCTTGGCCAGTTTCATTTGGTGCTGGGGCCAATGGGGTGGTCACGGGACCGAGAGAAGGCGCGAGGGTAACTTGCGGGCTACTGGAAGGCGCGGAGAGCGACGACAGTGAGCGTCCCAGGTCGCGTCGGCTTGGACTTAAGCTAGGGCTGGTAATAGGTCGGCACTGGGTTTCGGCTGTCCGCACGCTCTAGCTCTCCCGGCCTCGCTGCAGCCTTTATGAGCAGCCCGGGGCTGCTCCGCCCCACCGCACCCCCCACCACCAGAGCACCTCCCCCCACGACCGTTGCGTCACTGCCCAGTAGCTTTGTGCCGCGGCTGCGCCTAGCTGCTGTGGGTTCTGGTCGCGGGGAGGGAAATTCGCCCAGGGGCAGGATGGGCAAAAAAGGTCTGGTGGTTTGGGCCTTTTCACCGCACGGGGCTCAGCGGCCACATGCGCTTCGGGGTTCTGGTCCTGGCTGTGCCTCTGACCCTCTTCGGAACAGGAATCCTACTCTGCAATGCACACACATCTATATACAATCACTTTCTTTGGGCCTTAGTTTTCCCCAGAGAATAACTGGTAATTCAGCAATAGCATCAGCATTTGCTGAGAGTTTACCAATTCCAAATGTTTTACGTATATTCTCTTTCAGTGCCCAGAACACCACCCCCGCCCCCACCCACCCCCGCACAGTGCTGGCCGCGCCGGACCTCGTCTCCCCAGGTTGGGCGGTACTTCCTTCCCGGAAAAGCCGCTGCGGGTCCTTCGGCGTGGACCTGGGTGCTGTGCGCGCTCTCTAGCCGCCAGGGGGCGGCAGAAGGCTCCGCCAGCCGCGCTGGGATATCCAGCACTTGGACCCAGGGCAGGAGTTGGGAGCAAGGAGAGTGAGCTTTGGGATGCTGACAGGAACGGAGCACGAGGTTTGGGGCGCCAGGCCCAGACTCAGCAGCAGCTCTACTGTAGGCATCAGCATTTCCTTTCTTACAAAAAAAAAGATACTCTGTGGCCTGGCAGGCGACTTCAGCCGGGAGGGGCCGATCCTATCCTACTCCTATCCCGAAAGGGCCAGAAATACGACCTGCCTTGGTCAGAACTAGGCCAAAGTAACCCCTGCTCCTAAAACATTTTAGACCATTAGAGGCCCTTGGGACAACATTCTCATAATTGGGGTGGCTGAGGTTTGGAGCGAGAGTGAACCAAGGAAGACCCTGAGACCACAACGCAGTCTGTTGAATCCGTTTCCAGGACTGCTCTTTCTCCCTGTGGGCTTCTTGGCATTGTGTGGGGCCAGGAGAGACACCAGGAGCTCTGGTAACGTAGTGCCTAAGGCACTTGACTGCTAACCAGAAGGCTGGCGGTTCAAACCC